ATATTTTATAGTTTAGACTAATTTCGACCCTATTTTATTTAGCTGCTTTATTATAACTTTTTAGTATATATACAGGGTGTTTCAAAAAATATTTGCGATCTCTCGTGGGGAGATTCCTCACCTAAAAATAAGATTTATTTTTCATATCCGTCCGATTCTGCTTTATTTCATAGCTACAAGGTGTTAAATTCTTAATATATTTTCCATTTATTATAATTTTCTTCCAAGTTCTTTTAGCGTTTCGAATAAAATTTTGAGGGTATAAGTTACTATAAATGCGACATATTTTAAAGCTAAAAAAGTATCGACATATTCACCAGGGACTTGCATATGGGTTATCACTGGAACATTTTTCCGAAAAAAGCATGTACGCCACTGATTTTTTTTTTCTCTTGTCAGCAAAATAGTGTAAGCAGTTTAATGCCGATTAAAAATTGTCACTTGATATTTTGTCGATTTCGGCCTCCTTGATGACGCAATTTTATTAATTTGCCTTGATCCAAATCTATTAGCAACCTTTAAAAAATTGTAATATCATTAAATTGCGTGAAAAATATTATCATAAATGATTAATAAAATGTGTTTATCTCATCAAGGAAGACAAATTCGACAAAATATCAAGAGATAACTTTTAATTGGCATTAAAGGGCCTACACAATTTTTATCAAAAGAAAAAAGTCAGTGGCGCACAATGTTTATTTTTGTAAAATATTCCAGTGATAACCTATATGCACGTCCCTGATGAATTATTCGACACGATTTTACCATTAAAATATGTAGCACTTATAGTAACTTTCACCCTCAAAATTTCATTCGAATCACTAAGATTACTTGGAAGAAAATTATATAATAAATGGAAAGATTATTAAGACCTTAACACTCTGTAATTACGGGCAAAGCAGAATCGGACCTATGTTGATATGAAAAATAAATATTATTTTTACGTGAGGAATCTCCCCACGAGAGATGGCACATGTTTTTTGAAACACCCTGAGTTTATAGACATTTATAGAAACATTTAAGTATAATACATATATCAAAATAAGATATATTTTTGGGTTATTTCCTATTTCTTAATATTTTTAAAGTACAATTTTGTACCTACATATTTCTGAAACAAAAATTGACTGCTTTCACGGATCATGTTCTGTAATATTGGAAAAAATTTCATGCTAAAATAATAACTTTTTATTAAATTATTATTTTAAATATTTGTACAGACAATGCAGTTTCCAAATATTTTTAATTTTTAACAATTCTTTAATAATTAAAAACAATTAATTGTTTATCTATGTATTTAAAAAGTATTCTTGTAAAAATTTCTTGTAATTATTTGTGTTCAAAAAAATGTAATTATATTGTTCTTAATTATTTGTGTATCATTTTTTTATTGACTCACATAATCTAACCAAACTCGTGGGTAAATAGACATTCCAACAGTGTAATCTATAATATTTAAGTACTTAAGCATTGCCCGGTTGTTATCTGAAAAAATAAGTTCTAACTGATATTAAAAGAACTTGCACAGTCATATTAAGAATGTATTGGTTCTATCGAACTTTTTTTGAATAAATTTACAGGCAAGATTAGATTAAAAGTATGTATGTAAGATGTAAGTAAAGTTGTTTTAAAGCACTCTTTTGATGATGGTCAAAAGGTCGTCTACATTTAGTACTGTACTTGTAAGCTAAAGCGTAGGGTTCCCAACTTGAGCATCGATGATTCCGGGACAATTATTTTTAAGTTTTTAAATAATTGAAACAAAACATTAAATATTAGAAATGCAAATATATTATATGTAAATATAATTTTTTTGGTCCCGGCCAAGGCAATTTGTGGTTCCGTTCGTGGAAATGTTAAGTGACGAATTATTGTATGTTATTGCTTAAACGGTATAGATCGAAGTGGAGTAAAAACTGACTTAAATAGAAAACCATTTTCTTGTACGCATCATTTTTTCTGTTTCTATCGGAATAATCTTTGAATTTTATCTTCCATAGACATGGCAACGATCAATATATTTCAATAAAACTCGTCATAAACTCCTTATTGGAATAAGTACGAATATCAGACATTTTCTAAGAGTTGATAACTAATAACACAAAACCCACAAAAGTCACAAAACTGTACCTTGAACTCGCTGATACCGTCTACATGTATGATATCAACGCACAAACTGGTTTGCGCAAAGTAAAACCTTTAGCAGCGCGACGTTTACGCAGGCCGCGCTTGTTAGTTTGTGCGTGCTACCGTTTTACCGTCTACACACAGCGAGTTCCCGATACAAACAGGTTTGCGCAGGTAAGCTCGTGGTAAAGCTTGTACGTGTAGCCGGCCCTTAAAAAGGACTATATTTCGTTGTTATACGACTTTTAACCAATAAGCGTAGTTTAATGAGCTATTTTCACTACGCTTATTAGCTAATTAAAAGTCACACTTTTTCACTTTTGAAATCTGCGACTTGACTAAAATCGTTAATTTTCATAAGAAATTAGAATTAGCTCACGGCCACACAGAAAGCGATTTTTGCGTTTTTTTGCCTGAAGCGTCTTTTGCGACTAAAACAATATAACAGGGTTATAATATAGAAGTGGCCCGACCAAAAGCGTGTAGCGTTCGGCGTGTCTCGCAAAAGACGCAAATGAAAACAAATCAGTTTGTTTTCTGTAGCGTCTTTAGCGATTTCTAAGATGAGATCCCATCATAGGCGGACGTAATATTTAATAATACAATAAAAATAAATTAACAATTTAATTGTGTAACAAATAGTTTTCTACACGTAATAATTTGATTCACTTTTAAAAATTTGTATTAAAATATCAATATTTTTGATAAACACGTGGACTGCTCACTAATATGGGTCGCGTCACTACGTATTTCTAAGCCGTTACCACGTTTCGTTACAACTAGCTCGTGTGTCAGAGCCGTCTCACTAGCTCGTCACGGCCTTGAATTTTTACTCCCAGCGCGCGTAAAGAAGTTTCACTTCAAAAAGTTTGATAAATAATGTCCTAACATTGCGTTAGCAACTAGTAATATTTACCAGTCTATTATATAATTATAAGAACTACTATGAATCTTCTTCTTCGGGTTCACATGAGATAATGATCTTGGAAATTTATTTTTAGCAATTCTAACTTTGTTAACGGCTGTTTATGAATAACAATATACAGGATGAGTAATTCCAAAACATCCTCTCAAATTCTTGAGCCATGATGTTCTTGTTTTTTCTTTTTCTATTTTTTTGTTAATTTATCTAAGGCAGGATTACACGGTGTATTACTTATAATGTACCTATAGAGCGTCCCATTTTCCTGTGTTTTATGGGATGCTACACTATATAATTATAATTACTTATTTTCTTCTTCTTCGTGGTTCCATTTCCTAATGTAGGTTGGAAATCATCATGGCCTTCTAACTTTGTTAACGGCTGCTCTGAATAACTGGATAAAGTAATTCCAAAATATCCTCATTACCGCTTTGAGCCATGATGTTCTTCTTCTTCCTTGGCTCTTTCTGTCCTTTATCTTTCCTTCTATTATGTTCTGCAGCCGGGCATATTTAGGTCCTCGCATTATGTGTCCAAAGTACTCAAGTTTTCTCTTTTTAAGGGTGTTAATCACCTCTTCGTCCTTCTGAATTCTGCGTCGCAGTTCTACATTTGTAACCTTGTCAGTCCATGCAATTCTCAGCATACGCCGATAACACCATCTTTCGAATGCCTCAAGCTTCTCCATTTCGGCCTTTTTAAGTGTCCACGCCTCTGGACCATAGAGTAGAGTTGCAAATATGTAACCCCTTAGCATTCTTAATCTAAGCTTTAAGTTGATGTCTCCACTGCACAGATATTTTTTGAGTTTTACAAAGGATGCTCTGGCTATTTCTATTCGAGCTTTTATTTCTGCTGATTGATTGATCCAAGTTGTTTGCTATAAGGACGGTATCGACCGCGAACTGCATATTATTTAAGACCTGCCCATTAATAGTGATGCCTTCCTTTCTACTAGTCAATGCCTCCCGAAAAATTGATTCGCTATATATATTTTTAAACAATAGCGGAGAAAGTATACATCCTTGACGAACGCCGCTCAGAATCTTTACTTCATCAGAAAGTTGGTCGTCCACTATAACCTTCGCCGTTTGCCCCCGATAAAGATTTGCTATTATCCTGATATCTCGGCTATCGATATTCATGCCTTTAAGTATTTCAATTAGTCTGTGATGTTGAACTATATCTATAAAACACACATACATGTCCTGATTCATATCAATACACCTCTGTGCTAACACATTTATGCTAAACAGAGCCTCTCTTTGGACCCGCATAGCCAACAATAGAAAACAATGGGTCCAATTATAAAGAGATTATAGAAATATGTGAGGGAGGCTACACCTTAATTGGAAATGGTTGAATAAGCTAGAAATGATAATTTTTTAAAATCTTATAAGTAAGTTTTTAATAGGGATGGGATAACTTGAGCGAAAATTCGGTCGAGTACTCGATTACTGAAATAACCGACATTATTTTTTTTATTTCATTATTACCGACAACCGATTTTAATGTGACATACTCGAAACAAAGCCGAGCGAATTTTCTACATACATTGCAGGTAGCAAAATTATACGACGTTATCCATTGCGTATCTGAGTGACAAAATTTTACGACCTACATCGATAATGCTTTAAACTAAACTAAATCAAGCGAATGACTCGTCGCTTGCTACTTGCCACTTGCCATTCATCACCGAAAGAATATGTGCTCCGCGCACGCAACTTACTGCTTGGCGTTACGATTTGCGAGTACAACAAGCGACGGGTGAAAAACCGTATTTTTAAATACGAGCGAAATTTCGCTCAAGCAATCGCTCGATTATTTAAATCGTTTGAAACTCGAGTAGTCGATTATTTAATTTCCCATCACTAGTTTTTAATTTCTTGTCCATGTCAAATCGAACAAACTAAATCGATATAAATACCCATCTCTAACACACTTAAATATTTCTATATTTATACTCTTAACGTCTTATTAACGCCTAGTTATTCAGTGAAGAATTTTCCTGCTCGTGTGTGTTTAAACCGGCAGCAAAATGGTGAAAGCAAAAGTTTGGAAATACGAACGACGATTCGATGGATTTCCAAAGGAGGGTGATTTAAAATTGGTGGAGGAGGAATTACCACCAATTAAAGATGGAGGTATTTCTTTATTTGTTTTTTTCGTTTATTTTTAAACTCAAATAATTGTTGTTTACTTTTTTTGGATGTAGAATATTTGGCGGAAGCTGTATATCTCAGTGTGGACCCTTATATGAGGGCGTATGCACCAAAGGTTCCTTTGGGAGCTACTTATATTGGACAGCAAGTTGCCAGGTAAGTTTTTTTTGATAATTATCAAATAAATTTTGATAAATATTATAAACAGGTTTTAAATAGGTACCGGTTTATTTGCATTTTATGTTAGATCTATATGTTATTATTTTTTAGTTAAAAAACATTCTGAATTCTGGTGGGCGAGATTATTATTAGGTGACTTTTTTTCTTTTTCTATTTTTTTGTTAATTTATCTAAGGCAGGATTACACGGTGTATTACTTATAATGTATAGAGCGTCCCATTTTCCTGTGTTTTATGGGATGCTACTATATAGATATAACTTTATAAGATTTATGAAACGAAAGATTCTACACACAGATTTGTCTTAGTCATGTCCTAGCAAATATTTTCAGGGCTGGTAGATCTCGATAAAAGAAACATATTTTCTCTTTACCGCTTTCCAAATAAGACCAAAAAAATCGGGATATTTTACTTTGAAAATATCAAAATAAATTGAATTTTCTCTTACATTTTGAGAACCACTGGATTTTTTTTCTAGGTTTTCTTTCTTGTAAATTTAATCTACTACGTTGCCATAGTATGAAGGTATTATATTTTTTAACTAAAAATTAAAAAAAAATCTAGAAATTTTTTTAAAAAATTTCAAATTTTCGAAAAAAGAATTTCGCGGGAAAAACCTCATTTGCGTGTTTCTGGGGTCGAAATATACTACCCCTAAATATTTGCACTTGTTTAAGCCACTCTATAATGATAATATATAATTTGTTTTGGCGCATTTTAATTTTAAGTCTAAAAGTTTCCTAAATAATTTTCAGAATCATAGAAAGTAAAAATCCCGATTTTCCAGTTGGTAAATACGTGGTTGGTAGTTTTGGCTGGAGAAGCCACACTGTTTCCAAAGGAGGACCGGACCCAGCAGCAACGTTACCCACTACAGTACTACCGGATTTCAAAGGTTTGCCCGAATCCTTAGGTGTGGGTACCTTGGGAATGCCTGGGTAAGTCAGTCAGTAGGTACTCAGCATGTATCTACTATTTCTTAAAAACTACGGAATTTAAAAATTATTATGTAAATTTTTGGGAATTCTACTATTTATTTTATTTACCTGAGATAAAAATGTTCGCAAAAATTCATGTACTAAATTGCTTCAATTTGGAGATACAGTTGTGGAAGTTTAATTTTTGTTTCGGTTTTTTTCCAAATAATTTGTGTCGATGTCATTATGACTTCTACTTGGGTGCCACCTTCATATTTTAACTGTTTTGAAGAGTAATAACTTTTAGTGCGTACTTATATTACACTAATGACGAAAAAAATATATATTTTTCCGTGAAAATTAAATATTAGGAATGGAAATAATCAATACATATCATCATTGACAAAAATTAAACATGTTGACTTGATAGTTATTATTAGACCGAAATAATAAATTTGGAATGTTTTGTGACCCAGGTTCAACAGAAACTGATTTGTCTTAAATTTTTCTAGAAAAGTTTATGATTAATTTAAAAAAGTAAAATGTTCCCAAGTTTATCATTTCAGTCAACATGTTTATTTTTTTTCAGTGATGACATCTTGAGAAGGGTTGCCCGTAGCGACGTTTACTAAGAGACCTTTTTTAAAAATGGCGGAAATGTATATTTTTTCACGCAATAGTTTAATACAGGTACGAACATAGACTTAAAATAAAATATAGACTACACTATTTACATCTGAATGCGGTCAAACAATCATTTTTGTACACATGTTTACTTCTGGGTACACTCGACCGCAGCTGACCAAACCCAAGAACGGTAAACTAATAGGATTGCTCATCCTCATAAGACGTACGTTCGCCTCTTCCCGCGCTTCAGCTGACAGTTGTGACGTCATTGTAGTCCTTGTCATGTTAGTGTGTATTATTAGTTGCGTATGGTAAACTTATAAAAATAACAGCTGAGAAATTTTGAGTTAATTATTTTGTCAATTTTAAATGTGAAAAAGGTGTCCTTAAAGTTTCTAGAGCTATAGAGTGTATAAATACGTTCATTTTGTGTTGTGGATTGTGACAAAGTGCTTACTAAGTGCCTACGATATTGTTTATTAATTATTTATAAGCAAAATATGGAAGTACTCTAAAAAGAATGCTTGCAAAAGGTGATGCTGAGAACTGCTGTTCTTAAAAATGCATTATCCGAGTATTTAATACGATTTATACAGTTAATTTTCTATACTGCACACATATAAGGTGTTTAAATAAATAAACTAAATAATGAACGTTTTGCATTCGGCAACCAATAAAGCACGTGTGTGTATTATTGGTTGTCGGATAAGGACTAATAACGATGACAAGGACTACAATGACGTCACAAAGCGAGTAGTTTTCGAATACACCTGGCGGACACTTTTGGCTGAATGAGCAGTCCTATTAGGTTAACTGTTCTTGGACCAAACCGTCCTCGTCCAGCCTATGTTGTCACGTCTTTAATATTATCAATATTTTTTTTACGTATTATACACATATATTGAGATATTAATACTGCATTTTAACAAAGTACGTTTTAATATTCCATAGATGTATTAAATAGTCCTTATACTACTTAATTATAAGTCGAATACTATGTAAAAAGGATAAATCCTTTACAATATGGCAACACCGATTAGAGGCGAGGTCGCCCGTTCATTCTTCTATTAACTTGTAGTACGCGTCGCACGTGTGTAGTAAAGCATTGTTGCCGCTACTTCTCTCTGGTTGTATTATTGCATTTTCTTAGTTTGTAGTCCTTAAATGTTGTTGTATTTTATTTACTTTTTGTATTCAAGAACTATAAAATATGGTTCACCAGTGTCAAATTTGCAAGAAATTTGACTTAAATAATCCATTTGAGTCTCGATACGACTTTCGACCGGTAGGCAACTCTCAATTTACCAATTGGGAGCCAGTGGCGTTGTTGTAGAAAGGCGCTTATTTATATAATATTTTAGTAAAATGTAAAATCTGAATTTTTTCTATTACATAATCATTTATATAAAAGTTTTTGTAACAAAATCATAATTATAAACCTGTTACTACAACCTATTATACAAGATAAATGATATTATACATCGTATATATACAAGATAAATGATATTAGGCATCGGTTAAACAATTAATTATGTTTTTATTAAAAATATATTCCGGTTTATTCTAAAACTATCTTCAGAATCTAAAATAACATACAAGAATTTTAAAATGATATTACATTATAAAACATTATTTTTTAATATACCGGGTGCGTCACAAAAGTGGCTCACCCCTATGACTTTTTTATTTTTTTCAGATAAAAAAAAACAGATTTGTATGTTAGTATATGACATAAATTAATTATTTTTAATTATTATTAATAGAATGACATATCATATGTCAACTTTTGGCATTGTCGGTTAAAAACAAATCGTATTATAAATTTCAATCCAGGGTGCCATGGCGGTGTTAAAAACACTAAGTTTTAATCAAGGAGCCTTGGAAAAATAGTTTTGATCGTCTAATGTTTTTCCTGTCTTGTCTAGGCCGGTTATAAAGATGTATCTTTTAATCAGATTATGTCAATTTTTTCAAATGGAACAAGGGTGACTCATTAGCATATTTCGAAAAAGCATTTTTTTATGAATATATTAATACTTGGTATTTCGAGTCCAATTGTCGTTATGAACCGCGTGTTACAATTTCAATTAAACCATATGAGAAAATGTCAAAAGTTGATATATGATATGTCATTCTATTCAGAGTGTCATTTTCTATCGAATAAAGTAGAGATATACCTAGGGTGTCATTTAAAAATCAGAAGTTATAGTCATTTCCGGTGAAACAGGAAGTGACCAAAAACAATTGAATGCGTCAATCAATTCTAATTTATGTCATATACTAACATACCAAATCTTGTTTTTTTTATTTGACAAAATATGGGGGGTAAGCCACTTTTGGGACGCAGCCGGTATAATAAAGACAGTAGCGAGTTAAATAAATGTAGTCTTCATTTTATCCACTTCCTAAAAGCTTGCTTTAATGGAACAGATTTCTGTTTTCCCTAATTTACATAATAAGATATCACTTACCGGAAAAAAATTACAACAATTATGAAGTTTTTTCTCCTTTCCATGTCGCCGATTCTATTATATCTATAGAATAGATCCTGTTTTTAGATAATGTTTGACTAAAAATTAAATACGTAATTTCGATTATTATTTTTTTTTATTATTTTATCGTTTATTATCGTTTTTGGACGTTTTTTTTCTAAATTTATATTTAAAAAACCTCTCCTAAATCGTAATAAAATATAAAAAAGTTAAACACGATATATTTTTAATTGAATTATAGCTTCATTAAAATAAAAAAATTACCCGGCTATGGTACGGAGAGTTCAGGTTTACTGAGGAACGAAAAACAGTGTTGCATTCTCCGTCAGAGTCATCAGGGAACGACCGTTACGACGGAGATAACGTATATATCGCTCGTGTCGCACTCGTTAGAGCCTAAAACAATAACACAACAATAACAAGACATTGTCTGACCGCATGTTCCAGCTATTGATGAATGAGATGCTCAGTCTATATTTTATTTTAAGTCTATGGGTACGGATGAAAACTTATCACTTTTCAAAGCATTTAAAAATTTGTAGATGGTGCCCCTTGCAAGTAGGAGTCATATTAGCACTGAAACCAAATTTCTAATGTCAACAAACATCTAGGCATCAATCTTCATCCAAATATTGACGTTAGTTCAGAAATTATTTGTAAAAACCCGAAATAAAAATGAAACTTCAACCCTGTATCTTCGAAACGGAAAATCTTAGGTCATAAATTTATACAAACTTTTTTATCTTATTTTTGTCTGCGAAATATGTATGTATAATATCATTTATATTCATAAACCATACCATATTCCTAAACCATATCACAGATTAAATTATTTAAAAAAAACTTAAATACAATTTTTTTATGAAATGTTAAACGAAAATTTTGTAATTTCCAGACTTGAAAGCTAATGTTAAATATTATTAAGTATTACAGTTTCCGCAGAATGGCATCGTTAAATCAAAGCGAACACATCGAAATTAATTAAATCGAATGGTTTAAATGATATTTTCAAAACTCAATAACTCCGAAAAGATTAGGTTAATTGAAATATGCAATAATATACAGGGGATTCCATTTAAAAAAAATGAACTTTGACGGGCGACGACTTTATGACCGACCCTGTATACTTAAGTTTATTACTCGCTAATAAACATTTAAAAACCCTATAATTTTTATATTTAACTTTTTGAAGTACCTTGTATATTTTAAGCCTTTGCTTCAACATCATAAATAAATTGGTCAAAAATGGAAATAATGGATTACTCTTAATCAACTATTTTTTAATAACTCTACTAATTTTCTGTAACACTTAAATAATATTGCTTCTAATTTTATTTACAATGATTCTTTACTTTATTTTTCAAGAAATACCGCCTATTTTGGTCTCCTAGAAATTACCCATCCAAAAGCTGGGGAAACATTGGTTGTTAGTGGAGCTGCGGGTGCAGTGGGCTCCCATGTAGGTCAAATAGGCAAAATAAAGGGCTTAAAAGTTATAGGAATTGCTGGATCA